CGCCCACACATCCAGAGGAGCCACTGGAGCTGCCGGTAACAATGGACACTGTCACCATCGGCAACACCAGCGGAACGAATCATGGCATAACAATTCAAGCAGCAGCGGTTCAAGTCACCGTGCCCGACGAATCTGCGGATGAGACAAGGCAAGAAACAGCGGAGGAAATATTAGCACGAGAGAAGGAGCTGTACGCGTGCACTAAAGGATATCGGGCTGACGGAGACATCTGGCATCAACGCATGGGACACCCATCAATCGAAGTGCTCAACAACTGCATCAACGCAAATGTTTTTGCGGCAGACGCACTGTTGCTGCCCGATGGAAAGCTGCTGAAACCACGAACCGATTTACCTAATTGCACCGTCTGTCCGGCAGCCGCGCTCCGCCACACGCCCTTTGCCGAAAAGATTCCCGGAGCCGAACGATACAAACCACTGGAGAAGGTCTACAGCGATTTCCTGGTTCTCACGGCAAAAGGAGTTGGAGGGGAGCAGTACACCCTCACCTTCATTGATGCTGGCACACGCTTCGTCTGGGCCGTGAATGTCAAGGACCGCTACCTCGCCTACTACTGCTTCGAAGTTTGGCTCGCCATGGCGGAAAACCAAAGTGACGGCCACAAGTTGAAGGCGTTCCAGACAGACGGAGCTCTGGAGTACATGTCGGACGACTTCAAAACCCTATGCAAGCAGAGAGGGATCAAGAGGATGGTCTCCTTGCCCTACGCCCACGAGCAGCAGGGATTGGCGGAAAGAACCAACAGGAGCCTCGCGACAAAAATGCGAGCCCTCATGAAGCAGTCGGCCGTGCCAACCAAGTATTGGACCTTCGCCATGGCGCATGCAGTTCGGCTGCACAACATGCTCTCCTTGAAGGCACTGCCCAACAACAGCTCGCCTTTCAAGGAATGGACCGGAAAACACCCTGATACACGCATGCTGCGAGTCTTCGGGTGTATGGTACAGTACCGCCCTCACACTGCCCGAACCGGAAAGTTTGAGGATCGCGCTCGCTGGGGCATTCACCTCGGAATCGAATCCGAATACCACGCCTGTACAATTCTGGACTTCGCCACCCACCAGCTCACGCGTTCACGTGACTGCATCTTCTACGAAAGACTGACCCTGCCACTGTACCGCCAGCACCGCACTGCACAGAACGCACCGGACAACATTTTTCAGGGACAGCACAGCTACGCCAATGACGAGGACGACGTTGACGTGGCAGGAGAACAGCCATACGAGGCAGCAGCAAATGAAGCACCCTTCATCCCCGTTACGGAGCAGTTCGGCACTCCCACATACTTCCCAACAGACACCAATCCCCACGAAGCAGTACAGGCACATCACGATTACGCAAGTGCAGAAATGCACTCACCCATGAACGAAGACCCAGCTCGTGACTCATCTCGCGACACCTTTCGCGACATCCCTGGCGACGACGACGACGTGGTCGAAGTTACCACCACAGCCGAATCCAACCTCACGGGCCTTCACATCCTCGGCCTCGCTGTCGCCGTGCGGGGTAACCAGCAGCTGGTCGAGCCCACCACCGTCCGCCAGGCCCTCAACGGGCCCGATGCCGAGAAGTGGAGAGCCGCCATGGCCGCAGAAGTCGCTGCACTGCAACGTCGTGGAACCTGGAAGCTGGTACCACGCCGCCACGCAAAGGGGAGGAAGATCCTTACAGGGAAGTGGGTCTTCCGCATCAAGACCCTCGCGGACGGAACAGTCGAAAAAATTAAGGCGCGATGGGTGGTTCGCGGATTCGAGCAGACACAATTCGTGGACTACAACCAGACCTTCGCACCTGTCGGTCGTCATACCTCAGTGCGCATTCTTCTCTGCATCGCCGCCGTCAAACAGCGCCCGCTTCGCAAGATCGACGTCTTTAACGCGTTCCTCTACGCGATCGTCGACGCTATCATCTACGTCGAGCAACCACACGCGTTCGAAGAAGACGGTGACGCAGTTTGTCTCCTGCAAAAGTCCCTGTACGGCATCAAGCAGGCACCTCGCCTGTGGCAGCAGCATCTTCACGGCGTCCTCATCGAGTTCGGATTCCAGCAGCTTCCCCACGATCAGGGGATGTACCGCCTCGAATCACGCGGCCACTTCATTCTGCTCGTCGCCTACGTCGACGATCTTCTCTACACCGGCGACGACAACGACCTGCTCGATCGCTTCGAACGCGAAATTCAGGAAAAGCTGGAGGTCACGATCGACCACGAGGTCACTCAATTCCTCGGCCTCAACATCACTCAGACCGCGGACACCATTCATCTCTCCGCCGCAAAGTACGTCGAGACCCTTGCTAAGAAATTCGGGATAGCTCCCGTCGGCGTCACCACCCCCTTCCGCATTCCTCCGCCTAACCACGAGCCCGACACCACTCCGCTCTCACCGGCTGATCACCGTCTCTATCAGCAGCAGCTCGGATGCCTACTGTTCGCCGCCGTCACATGCCGCCCGGATTTGTCCTACATCGCCAGCCAGCTCGCCCAGTACCTGCGCCGACCTGAAGGGGAGAACCTAGCAGACCTGCGCCGCGCCTTACAGTACTTCATCTCTACGCCTGATGTCGGTCTCACCTACAAAGCCAACTTAACAGCCCCACTACAACTCACCGGCTACGTGGATGCAGACCACGCTGGGGACGCAGACAACAGGAGGTCCCGCACAGGCTTCATTTTCAAACTCGAGCCTGCAGGAACCATCTCCTGGAACTCCAACAAACAAGAACTCATCGCCCTCTCGTCAGCAGAAGCAGAATTCATCGCAGCAAGCACAGCAGTTCGCGAAGGACTCTACCTCACGGAACTCCTGCAGGAAACGAAGACGGCGATGAACGGGTCCTTTAAGTTACTCTGCGACAACCAGAGCGCGATCAAAATCGCCAACAAGCCAGGCTTCGTCAACCGCACGAAACACATCGCCCTGCGTTACTTCTTCGTAAAGGACGAAATCGACAAAGGGAAGGTCCAGCTCATCTACTGTCCAACTGGCGAAATGGCAGCTGATTTCCTCTCGAAGAAACTGCCACGTCAGAAGTTCCAGTACTGCTCGGACCTGTGCGGAGTCACTCGCAAAAGCCACGTGGCGCACCTCCAGGAATGAAGGGGAGTGTTGGAGTGTGAAGGGAATTGTACTTAGCATTCCCGTAGGTGCAGTAGTATCGCACCGGACTCTGTCGAAGCACAGACTACCGCAGTATCGGATCAGCCCGTAACAAGGGCAGGAAGGTCAACAGTCGCAAGAGTCAATGTCGCGACTGTTGACCATCTGGACCGACGCTTGACTTACCACCAAGGAATGGCAACAAGCGTAACCGTACAGGTTACATGCAGCGACTCGGTAACAAGAAAGGCAGTACAACAGTCAGAGTCACTGTAGAAATGCCTGTAAAATAGTTATAATAAGGGAATGTACCCCTTAGAGTACATGGCTAGACTAGGACTATTTATGTTCCTTGTATTCTATCTTTTAATTAACTTGGTCATTTACATTCACTATGATCTGAGTTCTTACAAGACTTCCGCTACCAACTCTATCAAGGCACTTCCTATCCTATCCAAGATCCTTACTCTAACAGATACTACACTAACTAGGCTAATATGCAGTTATACATAGAAATATAATTTCTGACAAGGGGGGGGGGGGGGGGGGGGGGGGGGGTAGTGTAAGATCATCAACATCGCGTACAACAACAGTCGTTGTTCGCCCGTTACTGCTAACGGATCTTCGCCAACCTCGCGCGCACTGTTTCACCAAACCTCGCACTGCTGGAGCAGCCGAGTCGGCCTACGCTTCGGGACTAGCCAGAACCTCGCGCCAGCGTAGCACTAGCTAGCTCGCACGTACCGCGTAACCGTTTGCATGCTTTCGCATCGCTCATGCCTTCGCTCATACTTTGTACTCGTTTGACATTTTAGTTCAATCTTCGCTACCTCGATTCATTGCACCAGAATCAACGGGAAGCATTGAACTGCGTTAAGAATGATCAATGAAATCCCTTACATATCCCCCCTAGAAGTCAACCTTCCCCTCCCGCCACCCAAAGGTCAACCGTACTAAGGTTGAACAACTATATATAATTTCATGTAGATGTAGAATAATATTATCTAGTTGGTCCGACCACATGCGTTGAATCTCTGACAACGCGCAGGACCTTCTGGACAGCATTCTGGCTCCTTGATTGTTGCCTTCGTTTCATGCGAGCAACTCAGCCGTCGCAGGCTCGCAACTCTTTCGCAACGTTCATTCAGCCCCCTTGCGATTCATCGTACCTCTTTCGCACCACATTTCCTCTCGGACGTGCAATCCACTCATAATGTTGTCGCACGTCCGCTACTGCCGCTATTTCGCAGCTCGTCGCACATCAATCCAATTCCTGATCGTACGACCGTTTTCCCGCCTATCGCACTCGCCTTTTTCTGCTTGCCTTGCCCTCTCTTCCCTCCCCTCGCTCTTCGCCAGCTTCCCCATCCACTCCCCTCCGCTATCTTCGCTCCCACTTCCCCTCCACCACCCTTGTCTCCGCCTCCCCACCCCGCCCCTCGTGCCGCCGCCCTTCAGCAGCCCCACAACACAAACACCCGTTGCCCGCAGCGCAGCCCAACCCTGGCACCACTATGCTTCTCGTTTCCATCCCGCCGCTAGGTCTACCCCTGGCAAGCCTACATAGTGCCTACAGTACAATAATCCTTCCATATCTGTTCATTTGGGCCCCTAACTTTTGCATTGCATTCGTAATCTATCGCTTCAATTTCGTCAGACCAAATCCGTAGCCTCCTTTTCTGACAAGCAATGGCGCCTCAGGCGGCAGGCTTGCGCCTGCTGCTCGTTCCTTGTGCATTGCTCCTAGTCCTCCATTTCTACCCTATTTCCGTCGACGCTACTCGTGCGCTATTCCCGTCCCACCATGTAGACACAGCGACACCCGTTGCGAAGTCGCAGCCCGTCGTCGGCGCGTCGCTGTCGAGCGACGTTCCGCCGGACATGGTGCGCGCGGAGCTGCAGGCAACGCTGCAGACGTTCGCCACGGCTCTGCAGGCCAACAGGACCGCGGACGCCGCCGCGATCTTCGCGCCCGAGGTCTGGCTGCTGCCGCCAGGCAAACCGGCGACGAACCTGTCGGATCCGGACAGCCAGACGGCATTCCTCGGCTCGCTCAAGGCGGCCGGCGCGCGCATCGCGCTGACGATCTCCGACATGCTGCTGGCGAGGAGCAACGGCGCGAACTCCGCGGAGAACAGCGACGCGAGCAACGCGGCGACGAGCCTGGTGTACGTGGTGATCAGCCCCAAGGGCAAGGTGCTCACGGTCGGCAAGGCCATCGTCGTGTGGACCGCTGGCAGCAAGGAGGTGGACGCGGCGAGGGGTGATGCGGGCGTGGAGGGCAAGAAGAAGAAGGGCGGCAAGTGGAAGCTCACGTGGGCCATGTGGAACGACGACATCGCTAAGAGCGACTTCCACGCACCGCTCTCGCGGTTCCTTTCCGGCGCTTCGGACTCCGCCTCCGCGCAAGTCCCGCTCAATTGCGCGCGAAGCTCAGCGGAGACCGTGTCCCGCGCGCAGACGGCGGAGGCGGTGATGGGAGGGGGGAGATCGGCGGTGGTGCGGCAGCTGCAGCAGCAGGCGGAGGACCTGTCGGAGGCCGTGGCGAGCGGCGACTGCGCGCTGATCCAGGGCTCGCTCAGCCGCGAGATCACCTTGCTGCCGCCGCACGAGCCGCCGCGCACAATCACACGGCTCGAGGCGATGAAGCAGCTGTTCCAGGTGCGCGATGCGGGAAGTGGCAGCGGCTGTCGCGATAAATGCACTCTCTCTCTCTCTCTCTCTCTCTCTCTCTCTCTCTCTCTCTCTCTCTCTCTCTCTCTCTCTCTCTCTCTCTCTCTCTCTCTCTCTCTCTCTCTCTCGTTCTCCAGCTGATCTCTTCTCACTTCCCACAACCCCCACCCCCCTTCCCTAATTCCCCTGTTCCTCTTTCCCCATTCCCCCTCTCGCCCTTGCTTCCCCCTCCCTTCCCCCCCTCCCCGGCCCCCGTGCCCGGCACAGGGGTTGGTGTACGAGGGCTTGACGTTGAACCTCACGGTGGACGACGCCATTCCCTTCCGCCTCCTCAACCCCTCATTTACCGTCGGTGCGGCGGACGCGCTCCGCAGCGATGCGGGCCGCGTCGCTCTGTCGCGCGGCTCGTTCCTCCTCTCGAACGTCAGCAACGGTCAGTGCCGAGAGAAGGCCTTCCACGTCCCCGCTCTCCTTCCCCCCGCATTCCTACCTCTCGCCCCTCCTCCCTCCGCCCGCCTCCCCAACTCCATCTCTCCCTCACTCCATCTCTCCCTCACTCCATCTCTCCCTCACTCCATCTCTCCCTCACTCCATCTCTCCCTCACTCCATCTCTCCCCCACCCCTCTCTCCCAACCACCCCTCCCCACCCTACCCTCCCGCTCTTCCTCCCTGCCATCCTGCTGTCGACACCAATTTCCATATTATCGCGCATCCACATGCTCCTCCCACCGTCCTCCCTTCACCCTGCTCCCCCCACCCCCTCCCTTTCCCCCACCCCCTCCCTTTCCCCCACCCCTCTCCCTAACCCGCAGGTGACGTCATCGCGCACGGCACGGTAATGCTGCTCTGGGTACCGGTCCCCGAGCCGTCGCTCTCCGCGTCCCTCCGCGACCCGCCGCTGCGCTTCGCCGTGCAGTGGATCATGTACTCCGCCACTCCGGGCAAGCCGCCCGCCCCGCCCGCTCCGCCCTCGCTGCATTCCCCCGCGCCCGAGGACCGCGAGGAGGGACGCGCTTTCCTGGGCGCCGCATCGTCGGCGGCGGAAGAGCCAGCGGAACAGTCGCCCCTGCGCGATCCTTCCGCGGAGGAGGTGCGGCCGTTCGTGCTGCGCAAGGTGCGCGACTTCCTCTCCGCGCTCGCCATCAACGACTCCGCCGCCGCCGCCACCGTCTTTGCGCCCTCCGCCGTCGTGCTGGCGCCGGGCAGCCCGGGGAAGGTTCTCGAGTCGGACGAGGCGAAGCGCGCGTTCGCGCAGCACCTCGCGAACAAGCGACTCGATATAGAGACGACGCTGACGGAGCTGGTCGTGGGGTCGAGCGAGGATTCGTCCTTTAACCAAGTGGCGGCGGCGAGCGGCGTCGATTCGGGCGCGCGCAACAACGACTTGCAGCTGCTGCTGACGCGGTTCGACTACACGGCCAACAAGGCCAACGGCGCCGTTGCTGACGCGGGCAAGGCCGTCGCCGTGTGGGTAGGGGTGGGGAAACTCCCGTTCGATTTGGGCGCGTCAGCGGGCGTGCAGTCGGACCCCATCAACTGGAAGCTCTCCTGGCTCTTTTGGAACTCCGACCCCGCCCCCTCCGCCAATGCGGAAAGCTCCGCCTTGCCCGCAATCGCCGCCGTGGTTCCGCCGGACGTGCGGGATCCCAAGCCCGGCCCCGTGCGCGAGCAGCTTCAGGCGCGCCTGACGGTGCTGGCGGACGCGCTGGCGCTGGGGGATGCGGAGACGGCGGAGGACGTGCTGGTGGAGGGCCCCGTGCTCGCGCTGCCCGCGGGCGCGCGGGAGACGCTGGCGGTGACCGCGGAGGAGAAGCGCGCGCTGCTGCAGGTAATGGCGGGCGAGGGATGGGGTTGGTCGGGAAGGTGGCGGTGGGGTTGGGGCGGGTGGGGCGACAACGGAGGTTGAGAAATGTATCCCTGTCCCGCTTGTGAGGAGCGGAGAGGGAGAATGGAGGAGAGAGGGAGAGCAACTGCAGCGATATCACGATCAAGTGTCCCCTGTCAGCGGGGTAGCCCGCGCTCATCCACTCCCACTACTCACCCTTACTTCCACCTCTCTTTGTCTCTTCGCTTCCCTTCTCCCCCCCCTTCCTCCCGCGCTGTGCGCGCCAGTCGCTCGTGGCGGCGGGCACGCTGCTCTCGCTGCCCATCAGCGGAGTGCGCCTGGCGGACTTCGCCTTCCCCAAGCCCACGCCCGCGCAGCCCAACGAGGACCTGCTCTACGCGCTCTCCTGGGGGGACTACTCCGCCTCCGCCAACGGTATGCGCGGGTGGGGAGGCCCCCTGTGGGGGAGGAGGAGGGGGTGTGGCGGGCTTGGGGAAGGTCTGGGGAGGTATGTGCGTTGGTGGGTGTGACGAGCGCGGGTGGGGAGAGAGGGTGTTTGGATGCGTGGATGTGTCACCGCATGGCAACATGCCGTTATCCGCCCTTGTGGCACCAATGCGGCATATGCGATTAAGTCACTCGTCCGTGCTCCCTCCCCGCTCCACCCGCGTTGCTGCGCCTCCCCTCGCCCCGCGTGTAGGCTCGGAGACGGCGTCGGGGTCGCTGTTCCTGCTGTGGAAGCGCGAGCAGCGCAAGGTGATCAATGGGAGTGCGGGCGTGGAGAGCAAGGGCCGGTGGGTGTACGGCATCGCCTGGGCCATGTGGACCTGCACCCCCGCCAAACCAACCCCCCCGCCCTCGCTCCGCGCTGCCCTCGCCACACCTGCCGCTGATTCCGCCCCCTCTTCCGCGCCTCTCTTCCTCTCCGCGCCGCACCCAGAGGACGTTCGCCTGGACGTCGCGTCGCTCCTCCCGCGCCTCTCCGCCGCCATTGCGCTCGCGCAGGACAACGCGTCGTCGCTGCTTGCTCTGCTCGCGCCGTGCCTGACTCTGCTCCCGCCGAACTCGCCGCTGCTGCCCGCGGTGTGCGGCGCTGAGCGCGTGCGCGCGGTGGAGGCGTGGGCGGGCACGACGGTGCAGCTGAACCCCGTGGACGTGCAGGTCGTTGAAACGGTTCCCGGCAAGAAAGGGGCCGCGAGCGCGCTTTGGGGTGCAGTGGAGGAAGGCGAGGAGGGCGAGGAGTGGGGAGCAGAGGGATCGAAGGGAGGAGACGGGTGGGTGGAAGATGCAGCGGTGGAATTTGATGCTGATGGAGATGCTGGGCGGGTGGTGGGCGATCCCAAGGGCCACGTGGCAGTGGTGGTGCGAGTGAGCTATGTCATTCTGTCGGAGGACGGCTTGCAGCTGCTGGATGCGGGCAAGGGCATCCAGGTGTGGGAGCAGCTGCCACAGCAGCAGCAGCAGCTGCAGGGCAGAAGCAGCAGCGGTGGCGGAGCGGCATGGGCGCTCACCACCTTCGCCTGGAACTCGGACGTCGCCTCGGCTGATGCTGACGCCACGTTGCCTGCGCCTGGCGCTACTGCAGCACTCGAGATGGGGGCAACGGTGGAGTCGAAGGCTGCAGCTGTGACCGGGGGAGGCGAGGTGAAGCAGCTACAGGCAGCAGTGGCAGCAGCAGCGGCGGCAGTGGGCAACGGCAGTGTGGCGGAGGTGCTGCGCGTGCTCTCCCCCTCTGGCGCTGCTGTCATGCCGCCCCACCGCCCCCTGCTGTGGATCGATGCTGCCTCCCTTGACAACGCCCGTGCTGCCCTGCAGGTATGCTGTGCTGTAGGCTTGCTTGCAGGCGGGAAAACGTGAGGCAGGGAGGTGGGGGGGGGGGGGGGGGGGGTTATGGGGAGGAGAGGAAATGTGTGGCCGTCAATTTCTTAAATCGGAATACGTGGGGGTAGAGGGTGGGTGCGGCAAGGGGCAGAACTGGTACTGCATTGTTGTGTATCCATGTGGCTCACTATCCTCATACATCCTTTCTCCCCATGCCGTGTGGCCCATCCCGTTGCCCCCATGCAGCCACTGGCATCACTGGGGTGCACGCCCAACGCCTCTCTGGACTCAGTGGCTCTGCTGCGTGCGCTCGACTCCTCCCTCTTCCTCTCCGCCGCCCACTCACCGCTCGCCAGCCACCACCACCAGGCGCTCGCACTCACCACCGGCAACTTCTCCTGCACACCCGCTCCACATCCTGGTATGCATGCTGCCTGCCTGCCTGCCCTCTCGTGTACCCTCACCTCTCGCGCTTGACCTGCTGCCCCTGCCTGCCCTGCCTGCACTGACCTGCCCTGCTCCGCCCCGCTCTCAAGCCAGTGTGCGGTTCACCTGACCCATGTGTGGCTCCATGCCCATGTCATGCGCTCGCCCACTCTCTGCACTGAGCCTCACCACACTCCTCTTGTCTCTCCCCTCTCTTGTTCCCGCAGACCCCGCGGTGACAGGCAAGGCCAAGACTCACTACGGCAGCTTCGTGGCCCTGTGGGAGCAGAGCGCAGCCAAGGCTGCAGCAGAGCAGCACAGCAGCGGCAACAGCGTGGCATGGTTAGAGAAATCCGACAAGCGCCCCTGGTTGGTCAAGTGGGTGCTCTGGAGCAACGCTGCTGCCCCGCCTGCTCCTGCGCCTGGTCCTGCTGTGTCTACCACCATGCCTGCTACCCTCCTTGCCACTTTGTAGGTGCTAACAGGGGAAGGCATTGCAAGGGGGGAGGTGTTGCGGTGGAAGTTTCAGAGTTATTGTGAGAAGGGGAGCTAGGCTTGCACTGATCGGTCTTGTCGGATAGGCTGTACTCACTATAGAGTACCCCACTGCAGACTAGACAAATAAGGGTACATTCCGTTGTGGACACTGTCCCAATCGATGTGTCCCAATCACAATTTGCCCGAGTCGCCCTCAAATGTCTCGCGTCTGCATGTCCCAATCGATCGATGTATTTCGAAAGCGAAGCTGCTTGTAATGCAGCAATGGCAACGGCGAAGTGCTCTACGCTCTTCGCCAACTATATAGCAGGGGGTGGAGGCCATTTGGCCTCCACCCACGTCTTCGTTTGAAATTTCAAATGTCTTATTTCCCACCCACCCACCCTAGCCAAAAGTGCATGTTGTAACTTGTAATGTAGGTACCATATCTAAGTAGGACGACAATGTTGTAATGCCCATTTGAAACGAAGCTCGTTGCCATTGCAAACACAAGAAAGCAAGCTTTCTAAATTGAGGAATTTTATAAGCGCCGGCGCTTATAAAATGGCAAAAGGAATATATATATTTGTTTTACACCAAACTGTATATCTCGTTCTGCCGATTGTAATCGAGTCGAAAACATATAGGGTCGCGAATCTGATTCTCGCGCAGCTTGGCAGGGAGTGATTCCCTGCCAGCTCACCCTGACAAAATTACAGCACATGTTGACTAGACGCGCAAAAAGTGAGTTCAGAGTGTGGGAAATCGAAATTGCAATCGAATTGTAATCGAAGACCTGACTGGCTGCGCGTCCAGTCAAGATGTGCTGGCATGCCTGCAAAGTGACGCGAATTTGCTTGTGTACAGGAAGCAGAATGGCTTGCGCGCGATTCTGCAATGTGACGCTATATTATTTCGACTCGTTTGAGATGGCAGCAATGAAATGTACATTTTGGTACCTTTAAAGTATAAATTTATATAAGCGCCGGCGCTTATGGCCGTTACTCAATTACAAGCGCCACCCCTAAAATTTTTAAACTTATTATAAGCGCATATGCGCTTATATCCGGGGCCATACGGTAGTTCGTTTCCCTGATAATGTGAAATTCGTTTCTGAAATTTGAAAGGTTTTCAAATGAAAAACAAACATGCGCTTATAATATATATTATTTTTTAGGGGGTGCGCTTATAATCGAGGACCGGATATAAGCGCCCTCATCCTTTTATAAGCGCCGGCGCTTATCCAAGGCCTGCGCTTCTTGAGAAACTGAACGAGAATGAATTGACTAAGGGAAAGTTGGGTACAAATGTAAACCCTAGAAAACTGTACCCCATATGTGCTACCCCACTATAGCCTACAGTAGCTATGTCATATAAATCTGACACACCCCCATAGGCAAAGTGGGGGAGAACAAGGGGTCACAAGACCAGTCAAGCAAAGCAAAGCAAGCTCAGGGTGGATCACAAAGTCACCACACATTCCGAGCACAAGTTCAAGGCCACAAGGCCAGTTCATATGCAGGATTACATATATATATAAGGCTAGACAAGCAAGAGCAGGTGTATAAAAAAATGCAACAGTACAAACAAGGTCAAGGGGTGAGCAAGTGAGGCAAGGCAGGCACAAGACCCAGCTGAGTACAGAAGCGCTGATGATCACAAGGCGCAAGTGCCTTGGTGAAGATATCAGCAGTGTTGGCCTGAGAGGCCACGTACGCAAGCCGCAGCTGGCCACGCTGCTGTAGCTCACGAGCAAGGAAGTAGCGGAGAGCAATGTGCTTCGTTCTGTGCTCCAGTCTCTGCTCTCGACACAAGGCCAGCATGGCCTTGTTGTCTACGTACAGCACTGGAGGAGAACGAGGCGGCTCTCCGAGGTCAGTCAGCAGGTACGTGAGCCAGCGAAGCTCCTGTGCAGCCATGGCCCCGGCGTAGATCTCAGCCTCACAACTGGAGCCGAGAACAGAAGACGAGCGGGTAGCCCGCCACGAAACAGAGCCGGAACCAAGGCTGAAGGTGTAACCCTGTGACGACCGCTGCGTAGCCTGGTCGTCAGCCCAAGAAGCGTCTGCGTGCCCAGTGAGGACCACTGGACTCTGCCCTCCAAGCACAAGCCCCATGCCCGACGTACTGCACAAGTAACGCAACACCCTCTTCGCTGCAGCCATGTGCTCCGGTCTGTGTCTCCCAGGAGCAACATAGCGTGCGAGAATGCTAAGAGGGTATGCGAGGTCAGGTCGTGTGCAGGTCATCAGGTACATGAGGCAGCCAACAAGCTCTGGGTACGGGCCACTCGACTCTACGGACTCATCCGAAGGCAGAGCTGAGAGCGAGTGGCGAGTAGGCAGAGGAGTGGCCTGAGGCGAGGAGTACGTGAAGCCGAAGCGCTGAAGGACCTGCTGCACCATGTGTGACTGAGTCAGGGTAATGGTGCGGCGTGCTCTGTCCCGGGTGATCTGCAAGCCAAGGTAGCTGCGCAGTTCACCCAGGTCTGTGCACGTGTGTCTCTTCTGCAGCTCGGACTTCACGTGGGCGAGTCCAGCAGTGTCAACTGTGGCAAAGACCAAGTCGTCGACGTACACGAGGATGTAGAACGGCGGCAAAGAAGTGTCGGTGCGCAGAAACAGCGACGGGTCGGCAGTAGAGGGAGCAAACCCAAGAGCCGCAAGTGTAGTCCTCAGTGTGTCGTGCCACTCACGCGGTGCCTGGCGGAGACCGTAGACTGGTCGCCGGAGGCTCCACTGGGTGCCAGGAGGAAAAGACCCAGTGAAGCCAGGTGGGCGACGCAGCCAGATCTCCTCGTGCAGGCTGCCCTGCAGGAAAGCAGTGCTGAAGTCAAGAGAGTGCAGCTCGTAGTCGCGGTGAGCAGCTATGTGCAGTAGTACCCGAAGAGTGGTCATCTTCGGGGTGGGAGAGAAGGTCTGAAAATAGTCAACTCCCTGCCGCTGACTGAAGCCACGAGCCACGTAACGCGCCTTGAAGACAGGCGGAGAACCCGGCGGTCGCTTCACCCTGAAAATCCACATGCCACTGACGATGTTCGCCCCAGGCGGGGGAACCTCGTCAACGTAGGTGCCTGTGGACTTCCAGGAAGCCATCTCTGTGTCCATAGCTGCCTGCCACTGAGAGGAGTAGGGACCCTCTATCGCCTCCGCGTAAGAGCGCGGAGTCGGGATGTCAAGTGCATCCGGGTCTCCCTCAGGGGTAAGCAGTACGGACACGAGATGAGGTGAAGCAGCAGCCAAACACTGGAACTCCTCCTGCCTGTCCTCAAGGACGTCCGTGCCAAGGGCACACTCACCCCCGACGGACGGAGGACAGACAGACTCAGACTCAACGACAAGACTAGCAGCGTAGTCTAGACGACAGCGAGCAGCAAAGTCGACGAGCTCAGCAACTAGGGCAGACGCAGCAGTGGACTCAAAGGAAGGGTCAGTGACGACAGTAGCAAGGAGACGCGTGACAGTAGGACTGGCAGCACGAAGAGAGTCCGACTCCGGATCAAGAAGAGCAGGAAGAGAGGACTCAGGAGGAGAAGGCAAAGGGGCACGCAGAGGAGCAGTGGACGGACGCAGAGACATCCGGTGCGTGCCAGGGACAGGAGGAGGACGCTGACGCGAACCACGACCACTAGAGCGAGCAGGACGGACAGGCGACGCAGGGCGAGACGCAGGCTCACGACGCTCAGCCAGACCTCCAGAAGGACCAGTGTAGGGAGAAGGAGCGGGCAGTGGGGAGGCCGGCTGTAACTGTAACTGTGACGGGACAGGCTGTGGACACTCTAAGGGAGGAGGAGGACCAGTAGAAGGCGGGAGACCAAGAACCTGCTGAAGGAGCGGAACGAAGTACAGCCGAGGCCGCGCGGCGACTCCAGACACGGCAGGGACAGCACCAGTACCCCCAGCGGCAGCACCAGCGCCAGCAGCACCTCCAGCTCCAGTACCTCCAGCAGCACCAGTAGCACCCCCAGCAGGACCGCCTCCAGGACCGACAGCAGTAGCCTCAGCGTCAACACCCTCAGCAGCTCCAGCTCCAGTCGTACCCGCAGGCCCAGCAGCTCCAGTACTCCCAGTACGAGCACCTCCGGGACCCGCGGCACCAGCACCCTCAGCAGCCGAAGAACCTCCAGCTCCAGCAGCACGCCTCCAGCGCCGAGCAAACCACTCGCGCAGCTCCTGTGGAGAGAGTGGCTCCCGCCGAGACGAAGCACCCGGAGAACCTCCAGGCTCAGCACCGCCAGACGCCACACGAGCAGGCCCAGCTCCCTCAGGCTCCGCACCCCCAGGCTCAGCACCTCCAGGCGTAGCACCCCCAGGCTCAGCACCCCCAGGCTCAGCACCCCCAGTAGTAGCACCCCCAGGCTCAGCACCCCCAGGCTCAGCACCCCCAGGAGTAGCACCCTCAGGCTCAGCACCCCCAGGCGTAGCACCCACACGCTCAGCACCCCCAGAGTCAGCACCCCCAGGCTCAGCACCCTCAGCAGCACCAGAGTCACCAGTAACCTCGACAGGCTCAACGGCGTCTACCTGGGACACACCTGAAGGGGCAGGACCCTGAGGGGGGAGGGGGTCTACCGGGGGGGGACCTGGCACAAGGAAGAGCGGTGGCGGGGGGAGGGACGGAGTGCGGTAGGGGAAGAGGCGGTAGTAGGGGACCGACTCGTCAAACGTGACGTCCTGGGAGGACAGAACACGGCGAGAGGTGGGGTGGTAGAACTGCCACCCTGGCGCGTCAGGGGGGAAGCCAAGGAAGACGCAAGGAGCAGCACGAGGGGACACCTTGTCTGCAGACAAGTCGCGGACAAACGCCCGAGATCCCCAGACACGGAACGCAGACGCATCGCCAACCTTCCCCGTCCACAGCAAAGCTGGGGAGGTCTCCGGCATGGAGACCCTGGGGTGAAGGTTGATCTGATGCGCCGCGTACCGAACCGCAAACGGCCACAGAAAATGGGGAGCAGCCGCATGCATCATGGACGTACGGGCGACGTCCATGACCATG